CTCTTTTAATAAAAAGAATAACGAACATTATTATTTTCTCAGCTATTCAAATGCAATTAGCTCAGTATAACCAAATTTGAGATACTTACGACAGTTTTCCTTGGGAGAGTCGATATGCACCCTAATAGCAGACAAAACCAAATAGGCCTCGATTTCGATTTTTCCCGACGGCCCCTGAAAGAGCCAGACCGGGCCTGGATTCACTCGAACTGAAACACCCTGTATATATGTTTTTGAATTCAAATGTGACTAACCGCCACACAGCGCATGACGGGTGGGTTCCGACCGCGCCTTTATAGGGGAGCCGCGAGATGATTTTCTATGGCCGCCAGTGCCCATAGAAAATATAGTACTAACGTAGAATGAAATCTAACATATGAATAATAAAACTGTCATGGCGGCGTCACATGTTAGTTAGCTTCCAAAATAAAAGATGTCGCAGAGAATGCTAACCCTGTCATTTTGGGTTGGTTGGTAATGCAGTTTGGACTTTGCACGTATTTGAAATTTGGCTTTCGTTATCTTTGGCACAGAATATAATTCTGTCTTTGGTTTGTTAGGTTATCCTCTGAAAATTGTAAATTATAGTATTGCAAGAATTGTGTTTATAATTATTTAGTGCTTAAGAGTTTTCTATTTGTTATTATATTATACTGGGAATACGATGTGTAAGTTTTAAGTTATATTTTATTAAAAACCAAACCTATATCTTTACCAACATTATGTGGAACACTCATACTCATGTTACCTGTATTAATCGATTAGAAACAGTCCACATAAAATGTGCATGTTTGAAATTACATATTATTTAAGTTAAATATAGATAAAAATAATTATGTGTATGATGATAAACTCCAACTAATATTTTATGAAACCTTTGATACTTAGATGCTTACAAAATTTTTAATGGTGGTGAATTGCTTTCTTTATTCAGTTTGAGACATAGAAAATATACTGTTAATATTAAGGTTTGAAAGTTCCAAACTATATGAACTATTGAATTTAACCCAATATTGTACAAATATTCGGTTAGGTGTATACCTATCTCCGTGAGATTATTATAACAGTTCATGCATAATTTTTATATTTTTACAGCTTACTTGCCAACTTATCAAGTTTATGAAGCAAATGAATTAAATTGTTGTCGTTTTTACCTACAATTAAATACATAACAAGAAATTGTTTTAATAGTACATGCATAACAACATTCTNTAAAATTCCTTTAAACATCAAGGTGTGTGGGCTTAACGAAACGCAGTCTGAATGTACGGGTAAATGTCATGTACGAGTACAATCGCGAATGAATACGTTTTCAATCAAAATGTCGTGTTTGGTAGTACCTACCGCAAATAACGGAAGCGTTACCGAATTTCAAGTTTGATAAGCATAATTTAAATATTCCTGAGAATGTGAGACTGGCAGATCCACAGTTTGACGTGCCCGGTGGAATCGATATGTTAATCGGTGCGGATTGCTTCTGGGACGTCATGTGCGTAGGTCAGATAAGGAGGAAAACAAGGCCCTTACTTACAAAAAACGAAGTTTGGTTGGATCATGTCTGGACGCGTAGAAACGACTTCAAATAGCTTTATACAGTGTAGCCTATCAATGAATAGCGATTTTGACAAGCAGCTTTCGCGGTTCTGGGAATTAGAAGAATTTCCACAAAACAAACTTGTCCGATGAAGAGAGGGCTTGCGAAAAAATTTTGTGGAAACCTTCACGCGCGATGCAAACGGGAGATTTGTTGTTACGATACCGTTATTTGACAGTCCGGAAAAATTAGGCGATTGCTATGAAACGGCAAAAAATCGTCTATTGAGTTTAGAGCGGAAATTCAAACGTAAGGCAAAATACGTGAAATTTATCGACGAATATAGGTCTCTAGGACATATGCTAAAGTTAAATACCGACGATGAAACCAAACCAAGGTATTATATGCCGCATCACGGTGTCGTTAAGGAGAGTAACCTGACCACCAAACTCCGCGTAGTCTTTGACGCTTCGTGCCCCACTACAAGCGGCTACTCATTTAACAATTTACAGATGACGGGACCTAGTATTCAGTCCGACATATTTTAGATTCTTTTGCGTTATCGTAAATACAACTACGTGATCGCCTCAGACGTGGAGAAAATATATAGAATGTGTAACATTAATGCGGAACAAACGCCCTTACAAAGAATCTTATGGCACGATAATAGCGATAATCCTATCGAAATTTACGAACTACAAACAGTGACATATGGCACCCGATCCGCTTCGTACTTGGCAATTAGGTGTTTGTACCAACTCGGGTTAGAATGCGAACGAGAACTTCCGAATGCCTCACGCGCTGTCAGGGAGGATTTCTACGTCGATGACCTGTTAACAGGTTCTGATACGGTGCAGGGTACAATTTCATTAGCGAACGACATTTCAGAAACACTCACCAAGGCGGGATTTCATTTGCGCAAGTGAATATCCAACAGTTGTGAAGTATTACAGGGTATTCAGACGGTCGATCGATCAGACATAATCGATGTAGGCGCAAATGAAAACACCAAACTTTGGGGTTACTTTGGAACGGTCAAAGGGACAATCTTTTGTATAAAATAGGTACCAACATAATACACGCATTACGAAGCGCACAGTTTTGTCGGAGATTGCTCAAATCTTCGATCCCATCGGTTTGCTCAGTCCAATTATCATGGTAGCTAAAATCATTTTACGGGATATATGGTTGGAAGGAATAGAATGGGACACATTCGTTACACACAAGATGGGTACAGGGTACAGTTTCGTGATGACTTGACTTCGTTGAATAATCTTGCCATAGAGCGACAAGTGACGTGTAAGGACGCGATATCTATCAAGATTCACAGATTTTCTGACGCGTCTATGAATGCATACGGCGCGTACGTGTACGTTAGGTCGGGAGCTAAATTCGGTGAAGTTTCGGTAAGATTACTATGTGCCAAGTCAAAGATAGCACCGGTGAAAACTCAAAATGTGCCTAGGTTGGAGTTAATTAACAATATGCATTAACAGAAATATTGAACGGGTAGGACTTTTAAGAACAAGAAAAGGGGTAAATATCTGACAACAAACCTATTGTAAACGTATGCATGCACACTTCAAGGAATGCATAATTTAGAGATTATATCTCAATCACACAAAACATATCCGTAAGTAGATATATAAATAGCTAAATCGTTCGTCAGTCGTCTCACCTATTAGTCCAGTCAAATGGTGGTTTTTCTGTAATTATATTGCGGAAGTTTTTTTCTCAGCAGTTCCGTATGTTTTTTGGGATGCTGAATCCGAATTTCAAGTTTGCTGCCTTGCAGAGGGTTGACTTCATAACGAAAAACGCGGAATTTTCGGAATATTTTCAGGTTTATTATTTTCGGTTTATTTTCAAACAAAGTTGTGTTATATACCATGCTATTAAAATTTTTTGACGATTTTAATAATTTTAAGAATCAAAAAGTAATTGAAAAAATTGCTCCTTTTTTCTGTTTTTTTTTTTTTTAAATAACTATTTCAATTTTTTACTTTGACAACTTTTATAGACATTTTTTTACGCATTAAAAAAATGTTTTTCTATGACCTTCTATATTTTTTAGTTATTTAAGAATACCGTTTTTTACAACTTTTTTGTCAATTTTCATGAATTGAGTTTAGAACAAAAAACTCGATTTAAAATTTAATTAGGTACCTATACGGTTTTTAGGTAACAATTTCTGTGAACACTTCTCTATAATGCTTGGACTATACATACAGATTTCATATTCAGCTTTATATTTAGGGTACAGATTTGTAGGAAATTTAATGTACTTTCACGTGATATAAACATGTATATTTTTCGAGTTGTAGGCGGTGGGAATGTGCGCTTCTGACGTTTTCGCAGAAGGGCAATATGTCGCTGTTTTCCAGCACGCCTTAGTGCCAATATGGCTCGTCAAATAATCAAAGTTGACTAGTTTTTTTTGCATTTTTCGCCGTGAAGCCGGCCTCCTACAAAGCAGCGAATAAAATTTGGATTTAGCACCCCAAAGAACATATAGAACCGTTACCCAATTTTATCACGAAAACGGGAGTTTTGAACTGATGGCAACAGATAAGTTCGAAACGAGTCTAGCAATTCTGCTGACCAATGATTTTAGATATTTAATAGATATCGTGGATGTTCTTCGATGCTGTATGGCAGAGTAACTATTTCCTACAATTTTTTTACAGTTAAATGCCTATGGGAAACAAATAAATAAAACCAGTAATTAACATCACGCTGTGTTTTTGGGAAATATAAGTTGTTGGTAGGAATTTTAAGTTTATTAAAGGTTTGAAAGAGCTGTGCAAAATTTTATTAGATGTTATTTTGTCATTAAACTGAACAAAACTTTTTAAAACAAATTTGTTTTATGTTTGAAATATCATAACAAAGTTATGAAGGTCTATTAAATTAATTAATATAATTTTAAGATAAATTCATCAAGGTACTATTTAAAATGACTAAATCACAATAAATATATTTAATATTTAATTTATATTGATCCATATATGTTCAACAAAATATGCTTGGTACACAAAAATGTCGCGTATAAAGAAATTTGCCAAAAGAATTATTTCTGCGTCCGATTTAAATTCAACCTCCATTTATCATGTTCCTTTTATTAATTACCTAATTTATTTTTTGCTACTAACAATATTGTAGGAAACAACTTTTCAAAATTAATATTGTTCTTATCTACTTATACTACTACAATTATACCACCAAAAAGTATTTTTTTTCTTCAGGTATTTTACCACATGAAAAAAATTTAAAAAATTAATGAAATATAAGCACTTGCGCTAAAAGGATTAGCCAAGGACTATTTTTTACTGATCCATTTGGCGCACGGATTTATTTTATTATTTTTTTCATAATTGACAAAATTCTCAAAGAAATAAGGAAAAAAACCAAAACTATGCCATAAACAAATAACTTCAGTCAATAAAATAACAGTAATTCAGCTTACTTTTGGCAGTGGTTCAAAAAATGGTCCAATCCATAAAAGTATGATAACTAGTATACCACAAGAAATGAGAGATGCAATTTGAGTTTTACCGCCAACAACTTGTTGAATAAGAGATCTCGACAGAGATGCACAGACAGGCATACACGAAAAAAAGGAGCCAACTATATTTCCAGTGCCCTAAAAATTGTGTTTATTTCACTATTCAAATCATTTCGTGCCTATTATCACGTAGAGGCGTATGTGTATATCCATTTCTTGGATTATACGCCCCTATGTGATAAGAGGGACGATTTGCTTATGGCTAAGATATTCAGTTACACATATTTTTTTTGTTTTGGAAGAATGTGCTTTACTGTGACAATAATTACTTATTGTAACGTGCATAAGAGATATTTACCATGGCAAAAAGTTCTTGGTTTGCGTCTACTTCATAATTCAGTTTTTGAGCAAAAATGAAGGCCATCGATAAAGTAATTGTAAAAGTTACTATAGCAATGGTAAATCCATCTAATAGTACAGTGGGTATCAATGAAATCGGCGGAATAGTTGGTGAAGGCAATCTAAAAGAATTAGCATTACTCAATGGCATTAGTGATATCATTAAAATTTACGATGTAATACGTAATAGTAGAAATCAGAATAACAATAGTATATTACGTAATAAATGTTGTAAGAAGCACTTTACGCACGACTGGAAAAGTTACGCACGGCGCCGCGTAGCGGCGAGTGCGTAATTGCATTACACCACGTATTACGTACTATACTTTACCTACGACCACTATTATAAATACTTAAAAACACACCGTCTGCGATCAATGTCAGATTCCTATTACGTACGGTAAAAAAATCGCACAGCTTGGTAAAAAAATCGTACGGTTTCCCTAGTAACCGCCTAGCAACGGTCAATACAAACAGTATTGTATTGTATTAACCGTTGCTAGGCGGTTGCTAGGAAAACTGTACGATTTTTTTACCAAGCTGTGCGATTTTTTTACCGTACGTAATAGGAATCTTACATTGATCGCAGACGGTGTGTTTAGTAGTGGTCGTAGGTAAATAAAATTAACAAATACGTATTTTGAAACATAACAATACAATTTTAAATAAAAAATAATAGATACTGAAAATAGATGAAATACTATGCAAATGCTTAGATAATAGTTTTAGGAATTTTCCAGTAATTTCAAATACCTAGAAAAACAATTAAATAAGCGTTTGAAAGATGTAAACCGGACGCACTTGTCTGTCAGATAGAAGACTTTCTTAGCGTTACATTGTTCTAATAGGTTGAAGTGTTATTTGCAATTGCATCTTTTATTATATATTTTCTTTTAGAGCATAATTCATTATGCTTATTTTTAGGTACTTTATTGTTTAATATTTCTCTTCTTGAAAAAGAAGTTTGGATTTTATTTTTAACATGGGTTCATTTAGTAGGTATAATTAATTAATGTGGTATAAATCAGATTTCTTTTTCGACAAATTCTCCCTCAAGATAATTAATAAATACGGACCAGAGGAAAAGGTACCAAAGTGATGTAACGTCATACCACTAGCTCACATAGTTGGCTGGGTACCAGATAACAAAGTGATTTTCAGACAGGGTTCTAAGACACCCCACATCTTTGTTTTTTATTTTATTTAAATAATTGTATAATACCGCACTGTCATTTGCTTCTTTCTGTACCGCCTGAATTAACACTGTGCGAGTGCGAAATCGCTGACGCACAGAGCCCGTCTATCAGTTAGAACTAGTGATGTGTAAAGTCGGATAATCGGATACACGATATTTGAATGATTTCAATAATCGAATAATCTGAATGATTAAAGAAAGCGCATGTGCTAACTTAAATTCAGTTTTCAGCGTCTCCAATTTCCATAGTACAAATACAATGATTACCCACCGATTTATAATATAAAGAAAGCTGGTTAATAATTCAGATTCTCTTAGCAACAGCTAATTGTTTGTTAACCAATAAGTCGATTAACGAACACGTCAGAAACTTTTACTTTTCCAAACTTGACCGCTGATAACTAACTTGATTAGCCGCTCAGTGGCGGCTCGCGACATTGAGAATAGGTGAAGCATATTCAATATTCATTGCTGACTAAAAAGGAAAAGAAAAGCGCCGCTGGCGAAAATTTTCAGATTTTTAAGGACAAACGGCTTTAAATAAATCTAGAAATTTTTAGTTGCATTTGCAATATTACCGAAAAACTGACGTTCGCGAGAAGGATTTTCATTTAGATTTTATAAAAGATAGGAATATTAGTTCGGCTTGTGGACTTCTGCGAACATTAACGCACACCGTACATGTATGTTCCAGTAAACTTCGTGGTTACGACAGCCTCCTTATTCCACACGCCCGACTTTACACCCACAATTAAACACGGCATACAGAAAAGTTTATTTTAAATAAACACTTCCACACAACCACTTATACTCCGAGTACCATTTATTCCGAAACTTCCCCTTTTTTCCACATCGAGAGAATAAAACACAGGTTTCTCGCATTTTAAAAAATCCTTTTTGTCCTCAATTTTCCATCTGGAAAATGGCGTTTCCAATAAAATACATATTGGAACATAGGAAATATTTCTACAATTATTATACAAAACAAATATTAACTAAGAACCGTTATAATCGTGCACTGGGCGACGCGTATCGTATAAACTGTTTAAAGGCAGGCGATGGGCGATGGCAATGCTGATTCAATTTCCGCGTCACTCATTCCCCCACGCCGTAGTGTACTCCCGTGTTGGCCAGCCTCGTTGCAATGTTAACCGCCGTAAACAACGCTACGACGAGAAGCGGAATACAGACTGATTTCGATCTGCGTCACTTGCTTATACTATACGTTATATGGTACGAGGTTGATGTTCGCACTCAATGAAGGCAATGTTTTTTTAGAAGGCGTTCACCGTGCAACTATTCTGTTTATTTCTGCCTATTAAACAAACGTAATACATTTTTAATATAGAATTATACCTAAATTATAAAATTTATATAAAATTAAAAATAATTTTAAATTGCACAATCAAACGAAAATTTTAGGTGAAGCGGTCCGTCACTTGCGTCACCTGGCGAGCCGCCACTGTAGCCGCTGCAATTTAACATACAATTTTTCGGTTATTATCCGAATACTCCCCGGAGTAATCGAATTACGCCAATCATTTTAATCGGATTATAGATTATTTTTCATTCAAATTATAACATCACTAATTAGAATCTAAAATGAGTTCACATCCAGCCGTCGCAGCGAGCAGTCCAGTCCGTCATCAGCAGGGAAGAGAGCCGTCTGGTAAGAAGTCCAGCTTGTGAAGACCGTTGCCCGTAGAAGACTGGAAATTAGGCTGAGTTGGAAGTTCAGTTCATCTCCGCCCGTCACCACTCATCAGCATTACTGTGAAGGAGTCTAGTTATATCCAAGGCAAATAGGCAATAAGTGAAATATTTACGTGAATAATGGTGATATACCCGATAAATCATTTATGATTTATTATGATCTATTTATGATGCAACAATGAAATATGTACTTACGAAAACAATAATATTTGGCAAATGGCCAAATCAAATACCAAGCAAAAAAACTAATGTATACTATGTGGTGCAATAAGGACATGTAACTTGCCCCGATCTTGCACTTGCACTAGTCTATAACAGGGGAAACGTCAATCAGTCTTTGCCATTTTATTATTGCTAAAATGATTTGCAACAAAAATATAATTAAAACATTACCAAGCAAGCAAATAGCAATATTTAAAAGAAAGTTTCTAGTAATTCCATAATTATCTTTGTAGTAATGTGTACAAAGCACGAATATTTAAACATTGTCAAAATAGTTTATATTGAAGTCTTAAAAACCTTGTAGTAAATTGTAAAGAAAAGTTGTAGAAAGATTATAAAGCACCACAAAAAAAAAGTTCTGTCCCAGAGATATGAGATCTTGTGTATTTTTTTCAAATTGGATGAAATAGTAAGGATAATGTAAAGCTTTAATAAAAAGCAACAATTTGCAAATACTTGAGAAAACATTTGAAAATAACATTTTGAGCATTGGAAAGAAATACGTATATGTAAATTACGCCCTATGAACAATGTGAAAAACCATAGCATCAAATGGAAACAGGCCTAGAAAAGTAGTATTTATTATCCAATTTATTTTGTGTTTTTTCTAAAAGATGGAGTAGTAAAAACTCTATTTTGCGCAAAATATTAAAATTTGATTTCTATGTTCAAGGCCTACTTCGAATTTTTTTCACTGTCAAATTTTACAAAAACTGTTTAGCGATTTTTTTATTTCAAATCTTACTGCGGCACTGGATTCAGCATCCACTAAAACGGTTTTATGCCAAATTTCGTAAATAAATATTTAATAATGAAGGATTTATAGCAATTTTAATGTTGTAGGCTTATTTTATTAAATAGCTACACTGGTGTGGCAATTTTCTAAAAAAAATTGGCTAGAAAAATGATTTAAAAAAAATGAGAAATTAATTTTACGCTTTTAATACAATAATACAATAAATTTAACACCACAATACAATAACATTTTAAATTTTTGTAGCTACAAGGCTACTGTTAATTTCAATGCGCTTTTCGAATACCTTCGAATATTTCTTTGAACATCCTGTAGTTGTTGCGGGGTAACTTCTTCACAAGCTTGCATAATTCTTGCACACGACTCTTTTCTGTTGCTGGGCGTGATTTATAAATTCTGGATTAAGTATATAGATTTTAGAGCTAAAAATATAAATTTGATCATTCAAGTAGCAAATGTCTCAACTAAAGGGGCGTAGTTTGTCATTACGGCAAGTGCCAGATAAAGACGTAGGGTCGAGTCAGTCGAGTGGTGTGACGTTACAAAATCTCTGCGAACTGCTAGTATCGTGCAAATATTTTACGAATTAGAAATTAATCACCGTTAATATTAAAGCTATCTACCGATTTTTTTTACCATATATACAATGTGAAAACAAGTTATAAATTAAATATTACTTAATGAACTCATTGTTCGTTTTATCATTTTAATTAAAAAAAATCGATAATTTTTTTTATACAGGGTGTCCCAGTGTCAGCGTACAAAAATTTACCAGGAGGTAGACCAGACCAAAATAAGATTAAAATTCTTATAAAATATTTTTCTGCGATGCACTCTCACTGAGTTACAGGGTGTTGTTTAGAAAATAATAATAACAACTTTCCGCAATAACTCAAAAACCCTTTCAAGGATTTAAGTAATTTTTGGATGAAGTGTACATCTATTTAAGGTCATTAAAACTACATTGTGGTTATTTCGATCTAACGCCAGGGGCGGCCTAGGCTAACATGTCCTCAAGGTTATGTCTTCATAACTTTTGCATATCCTAGTTTTATGTAATTTGATTGCGTTTTCCTGAACCTGCAATCAATTCTGAACAAAAATTGTGCTCTTATTTCATAGCTCAAAAATGAACCATTTTCCAGTAAATTGGATCTAAAATATCGACTGCATTAGTTCGTAGAAAGATGCATGTAAAGATTTTATTTTTTGTTATCTAGTAGGTACCTGTCATTATAAAAAACAAAGTTGTTTACCGTTGATGTACAGTTTCCCATGTAGCTGAGGCTCAATGAATATGAAGAAACTAAACAAGTTTTCTACGAATTATTTAATATTTGGTTACCTATAGGTAGGGGAACTAAAAATAAAATTGAAAATTATGTAACAGAAACGAAATTATGTTAGCAAAATGACAATATTAAAAATAAAAATAGAAAACAATTATTTCAATAAATGCTCGAAATACTCTCCATTTACTTTAATGTATGCCCGACATCGTTTGACCAAGGAATTGTAAACCCTTCGCAAACAAACGGTTACTTGAATTTGCTCGGCGGCTACATTAATTTTTTGAAGTAAATCGTCTCTCGTGTTATTGGGTTTGGCATACACCAGTTGCTTCATATGACCCCAGTAAAAAAAATCAAGCGGGTTGAGGTCAGGAAACGTGGGAGGTCACATAATAGGTCCATTTTTTCCGATCCAGCGTTTTGGAAAATGTAAATCGAGCCACGCAGATACCTGTCTTCCGTTACGAGTAGATGCTCCATCTTGTTGGTAGTAGGTACGTTTGATTTCGCAAAGCTAAGGGAACGTCATCTAGTACACCATCAAATTTTCTAAAAAATCCGTGTATCTCTCTGAACTCAAACGGTCTACAATAATTTGAAGAGGCAGAATGACTCCGTTGAAGATTCCTCTCCAGACATTTATGAAGAATCTTCTTTGAAACGCGGAGGGTCATATCACATGCGGATTTTCAATGGATCAGACATGAAAATTTTTTAAATTATTTATAGCATTTCTCGTAAGGATAGTTTCATCGCTCCACAATACCTTTTGATGGAAATTTTCCTCATTATAGATATTTTCTAACAACCATCTGCAAAATTGTATCCTTTTTTCGGAATAATCAGGATGCAAAGTTTGTACTTTATGTAGATGGTATGAGTGCATTTCTTCTCGGTTTAAAATTATCCAGATTCTGCTTCGTGGAGTATCTACTTACGCAGATATTCTTCGGACACTGGTGGAAGGATCATCAACAACAGCAGCTATTACATTTTCTTCCAAATTAGGTACCTCTTTTCTGGTATTTCCAATTTTAACACTCCCAGTCTCACGGACCCTTTGGAAAACTCGTTGGAATACGTGCTGTGAAGGTTGCCTTCTGTTTGGAAACCTGTGTAGATACTCTCGTAAGGCCATAAATTAATTTCCATCACAGAAACCGTAGACAAATATCATATCGGCATATTCGTTGTTAGAAAATTCCATAATACTTAATATCTTGTTGTTTTGTAAACTTAATTTCTCGTAACTTCGAGTACTGTAATTAATTTTGACATGTACGCTTGTAAACAACTTTATTTTTTATAATGTCAGATACCTACTAGATAACAACAAATAAAATCTTTACATGCATTTTTCTATGAATTAATGCAGGCGATACTTTAGACCCAGTTTACTCGAAAACGGTTCATTTTTGAGTTATGAAACAAGAGCACATATTTTGTTCATAATCGATTGCAGGTTCAGGAAAACGTAATCAAATTACATAAAACTAGGATATGCAAAAGTTATGAAGACATAACCTTGAGGACAAGTTTGCCTAGGCCGCCCCTGGCGTCAGATCAAAATAACCACCATGTAGTTTTAATGACCTTTAATAGATGTACACTTCACGCAAAAATTACTTAAATCCCAGAGAAGGTTTTTGAGTTATTGCGGAAAGTTGTTATAATTTTTTTCTAAACAACACCCTGTAGCTCAGTGAGAGTGCATCGCAGAAAAATATTTTATAAGAATTTGAATATTATTTTGGTCTGGTCTACCCCCTGGTAAATTTTTGTACGCTGACACTGGGACACCCTGTATAGACATAAAAAAGTGACCGGTAAATCAAAACATTTTTCTCTATTTAGCGTTTATCAATTGGTTTGGAAATATGGACAACTGAAAATCACATTCCTGAAATGTAATTTTTTGGGGAAAAAAGAATAATAGGTCTTGAATTTAAACAAAATAAAATATTTGTCATACTATATACAGGGTGTTTCAGAAAACATGGGCCAACACTCGGGGCAGATTCCCAAACTAAAAACAAAATTCTTTTTTCATATCAGCATGGATCCGATTTCGCTTTGTTCCTTAGCTACGGGGTGTCAAAGTATTAAAATAAAATATGAGTATGTTTTTCCCAGAAATCTAGATTTCCACTTGAGGAAATTAAATGAAATTTGGATTTAATCAAAGAAAAAATTGGTTCTCCGTTGAGATTTCTAATTTATAATTACATGGGTTAAATTTTAGTTCAATTTTGATCAAAAATTGACTCTTACTTCGTTCGTTTTCCATCGCGTTTTCGGTATTTTAAATTCAAATAAATATTCAAATAAACAATTATTTATTTATCTATTTTTATTTATCTATTTATTAGGGCTTGCAAGTAAGTCCGGTCCTGTAATTCATATTGAACATAATAATACCTAGGAATGTGTATTCGGTAGTAAATAGTTAATTTTACAAATTTCATTTAATTCCCTCTAGTGGAAATCTAGGTTTTTGAAAAAAATATATTTTATTTTAAAAATTTTACACCCTGTAGTTAAGGAACGAAGCAAAATCGGACCCATCTTGATATGAAAAAATAATCTTGTTTTTAGGTTAGAAATCTGCTCCCGAGCGTTGGCCCATGTTTTCTGAAACACCCTGTATGATCGCCGATACAGGTAATCGAAAGGGTACAATCGAAAAAAAAATGTTTAAAGTCAAAATTTGTTACATTTCTAAACGGTTTTGTAAAGTCTAAAGCATACTACAAAAAAAAGGTATACCTGTCGAAATTCGGTAGCATGTACCATTTTCGAGAGAATTGAAGTTGCATTTTTTGCTCACATAAAGCGGCACAAGCTATCGATAGTCTTTGCATTTAAGAATATAATTTTAATTTCTTAGGTATCACATAAGACAGTTAAATTATAAAATATTTTATTAACTTCAACAAATAAAAAAATTAAAATTTATTTTAAGTTTAAGCTTGTTGTAAAGTAACATTCAAAAAAGTAAAACAAAATAAACAAATTACGGTAATTTGTTATCTATCAATAACTAATTTTAGATTTTGTAAACTACTACACTACGTCTACTGAAATAAACAATTGTTGAATTAATTGAATTTTTGATGGACTTGAATACTTCGAAAAATGATAAGAATAGAAAAATATTAGGAAACAGACTCAGAGACACAAAATACTTAAATAAATGAGCAAAACTCGAAATACTACAGTAGATGCTGGAATTGTCCCCCATTTACTTCTATGCAACCTCATTTTTCTCAAAAATGGTAGGTATATGCTAACGAATTTCGACAAATATACTTTTTCTTTGTAATATTTTTTAGAGTTTACAAAACCGTTTAAAAATGTAACAAATTTTGACTTATAACATTTTTTTTTCGATTGTACCCCTCCAATTACCTGCATCGGCGACACTGCTTTTCAGAAAAAAACCGTTTACTCATTATTCTTAACGCACAGTTGACGTTTACTCATGTACAAATTTTGACATTTTTATCTTTAGCTGATTTAAGAATAATTAAGGAAAACCATTTGGAAAGTAACAACTTCAACACACTGTATCTCGAAAACAGGGCGTCTAAGAAAAAAACGTTACATGAACTACCCCCATTATTTTCCCATGAGGAACTTTTTTTTTAAACATGAACGGGACACCCTGTATAATCAGTTTGACTAAAAATAGTTTCAAATGCAAGTAAGTTAAAAAACTTTGATTTAACTGATATGTTACCCTTGTGGTATTTCTCCAACAGTTGTAATATTGTACAATTCTGGCAATTGACAATATCTTGAAATAAGTGTTCCCAAAATTACAGCAATCAGTTCTATAGGCACTGGAAATGACGATTTCTTTGCTACTATAGGCTAAAATAGATTAATATATTTACAAAAATTTTAATTATATAACGATTTAACTCACCTTTAGTAACTCATTATTAAGAGTTGTAACAATGATAGTAATCGCTGAAATTGTAAGAGCAGCAAAATTGAAATTAGAAATTTCTGAGGTCACTGCTTTTAAAGTCTGTAAAGTATAATACAAAGTAATAAATAAGTTATAATTGATTAATAAGGACTTACATAAAAAACTGTAAAATAACCCTTAAATCTAGGTATTTTTAGCCCTAGAAGGTCTTTAATTTGAGACGATAAGACATGGATTGCCGCCCCTGTAGTAAATCCGCTTACTAAAGTTTCTGAAAGTAAAGCACTTACAGCTCCTAATTGTAATATATACATCGCCAACTGAAATATTAAATGTTTTGTAAATTTTACAAAAATATGTATTTTTGGAACGGGCACGATTAAAACAAATAGCATACAACTTTGTTGTGGTTGAAAAAATTTAAAGTATTAAATACTAGGTACGAGTTGGTTGATACGTAGGTAAATGTAGTGTTTTATTTGGAGTGTAATACAGTTATTTTAATATCGTAGACTTAAAAATTAAAATTTTATTACCATTCAAGAGAATTTGGGTTCCAAAGAAAAGACATAACCAAATGGAAAAATGTCATTTCCGACGTAACCTTCTATTTGAGTTTAATAATCTTTCGATTATTATAGATCATTTTAAGAAAGACGCTTTTCCATTATTAAGAAGGCAGAATATTTTTACGTTATTTTAATGTACTCTGTAAATATATGTATATGACACATATTACTATTTAGTGATGTTGCCAATTCCAAAAGTTTATTATTAATTAATGCAAGTTAAGCTTCGTTAAAGACTTGATATTTTTATGAAAGCTTTCAGTATAAAATTATGAAAAAATTGTAAATGTCAACATTGTAAAAAGGCAACTTGATCTAAATCTACCCGCTAAAAGCTACTTATTAGATGATATGAGAAATAATTAAAAAAACACACATATTCCCTTTATTATGTTTTAGTAAGTATTATTTTATAGAAGAAGTGTTTACATGCAACTTCATAATAAATTGCTTCAGAAATTTCCTACTTAGGAGAAAAAAGACTACATTGTGAAATTAAATCCAAAAATTATATTATATGTATAAATAGAACTAAGTATTTCTCGAATTACTTTGTAATTAAGGTTTTAAACGAAACAAATAATATTACATTCTGAAGAATTTTGTTAAAGATTCGAATCATCAAATTTTTTTATAATAAGTTTACTTTTACTTTCATGACATACACATAAGTACTATAATAGCACAGTGAGGTAACCTAAGCAGGCACGGAATGGCCAATTAGTCTTGGATCAAAATTTTTAAACATAAGTATGAATTTTAATTAAAACTTATCTTAAGTATATTTTTGCAACCATTTGAAAAAAAGCTATTTTGGTATACATCATATACCGCTGCACGGAGGCCAACAGATTCCCGAAAGCAGATTGTAGGACAATACTGAGAAAAATTCGTACTAAGTTTAATACTAGATAATTTAAGTTGGGTCCGAAATATGAACGTATACGTAGGATTTGACTTACGTATTTATGTATAAGCTCACGGGTCTTCCGTGAACGTAAATGTGCCGAATAGAGGTCGGTCGTCCTTTGAATGCGTTTTCGTCCGAATTGAATTCGTCCAGATTAAAAAAAAAATGTCTCGGATAATTTATTTAGATATTCGATAAAGCTTATGAATATGATATCGGTACCTCGGAAACCAATACCGTTGTAATATTAGTATTCAGCGACACCCGAGTAGCAAAATTGAACTCATTTCCGTCAATATTTTCCAAGTTATAAATTTTTCATTTTTTAACTCTCCGAGATGCAATTTTAAAAATGCATTTTTCTTATGCACCGATGCAATTTTCATTTCTCATTGATCACAAACTTTCTGGACGCTCGAATGAATCTTACTGCACAGATTTCAGAGGTATTTCTAAGGCCGTTTTTAGAGCTTTATTTCCTCGACTAGAAGCAAAATCTTGTCCAGTGAACAATACCACATGGGCGAAATCTGACAAATTTATCAGTCCGATTTCTGACGAAAATAATTCGGACGAAAACGGCTAGAGGATGGGCATTATGCGAAACGTATCAACACAAATATCCATGCATAGTAAAAGATCCACATCCTGGAATCGTTTTCGTTTCGTCATGCATAACTAGCAAACTATACAATGAGCGGCTAAATTATAGAACAAACTAAATAAAACTGTAATAATTTTTTTATAATAAAGCTGAGACAGGTCGATTTTATTTTGTTTTTTTGCTGTTTTTGTGTGCATCCGATTTTTTACAGGGTGATTCTAAAAAGCTGCACAGATATATTTTTTTATTGGAACACCCTGTATATTTCTACAGATTTGGATAGAACGTTGTCTCATGAATACAGTAATGTAGATATTGATGGATTTAATTTTAATAATAATGAAGATATAACCAAGAGTGCTCAATACACAGAAGACAATTTTTTCTTGTGGGGTTATTTGAAATAAAAAAAATCTACGTAAGTAACCAGACCGCAGAATTAAGAAATCGAATATCTGAAGAAATGAGTAGAATTAGTCCAGAGGTCATTCACAACGTACAAGAAGAATTCATAGGTTTGCTTATTGCCAAGAGGTTGATGGATGGCATTTCCAACATTTGGTTTAAATGAATAATATTTTAATTTTGTTTGTTGAAAACTATTTAATTTAATTCACAACTATTATTCGTTTCTTCTTATGGATTAAATTTTTTCCTTGCCTTCTGTTTATTGAGCAGTTCTGGTTATATTTCCGTTATTATTAAAGATAGAGCCATTACTGTATTCGTGAGACAACGTTCTATCCAAATCTGTAGAAATTTATAGGGTGTTCTATTAAAAACATATAACGAGCGTTCAAATAAAAACGTGGTCGAAGTTGGCTCTGACACATTGGACGTAGGGAGTAGCTTATAGCGACCAACTTAACCTCATTTCTCAACGAGCTGTATAGCAGCTGTCAGTTTCAATAACGTTAATGACTATATAACTTTATTTTAAAGAATAATCGTGATAACAATAACAAACAATTAAAGGAGCTGCGGAAAGTGTCCCCCTCCTTGTTATAACAATAAATTAAAGCAGCTGTTGAAAGTGTCCCCCTCCTTGTTCCAAGCACTTTTTACACCTGTTCCTCAAAGAATTAAAGACATTTTCTAAGATGCTCGGGGTATTGTTAATTTCACGAATCTTGTCTATAAGTCGAGCCTGCAGATGGTTTAAATCAGGAATAGGCAGTTCAAAAATAGTGTTTTTAAGGTAAGGCCACAAAAAGAAATCACACGGCGTAATATCACATGACCTCAGTGGAAATTCATGTTCAGCATTGAGACTTATTAGTCGATTTTGGAAAACTTCCCTCAACATATTCATCGTCTCGCCTGCCGTATGTGCCCTTGCGCCATCTTGTTGAAAGTAAAAGTTTGTAATTTCGTTTTCTTCCAGCTGGTTAACAAAAGGAGCGATAATTTCTTCTCTATACCTTTGCGCAGTAAGAGTACTATTAAAAAAAATAGGTCCATAAATCCTCCTTCGATTGAGAGCACACCAAACTCCAATTTTTTGAGCGTGTAGAGGGCCCTCGACAAAAAAGTTATCTGGTTTTTCAGAAGACCACATTCTCATATTCTGTGAATTTACGTAACCACTTAAATGAAACCAAGCTTCATCAGAAAAAAAGGTGATATTATGAAGTTCACCGTAGTTGTTTAAAAACCATTCACAAAATACAGCCCGTCGCGGAAAATCAACTTCATGAAGTTCTTGCTGACAAGTTAAACGATAGGAGAACAAACGCAAATCTTTTTTTAACACTGTGTGGCAGGTACCGACTGATACTCCCACCATTTGTGATAAAACACGTACAGAAGTTCTTGGCGCATTTTCCATTATTTGTTGGACATTTTTCTTTTAATTCTTCAGTCCGCTTTTTAGGTCGGCCGCTTCCTTCTTTTCTTGTTACACTGCCCGTTTCACGAAAAACATTAACACAACGCTGAACTGCACTTTGAAAAATTTTGTACTCAACAACGCCGGGAAATTGATTTTGAAATTCTATGAAACATTCCTCAATAGAATACTTCCATATTCCATCAATCTTGCGTCCATTTCTAAAGTAGGACTCTATGATAAACACTTTTTGTTCTTGAGAAAACACCATTTTAAACGCTTTTTAAAACGAAAATATTCAAATTGATAGCGGCGATATAGCGCTTTGACAGATGACGTTTAAGTTCATTTTCTATACGCTACGCCCTACGTCCAAATGTTCAGAACCAACTTGACCACGTTTTTATTTGAACGCTCGTTATAATTTATTTCGTGCAGCTTTTTTGAATCACCCTATAGAAAATCGGATGTACGCAAGAAAAGGCAAAAACAAAATAAAATCGACCTGCGTTTATAAAAACAAAAAATGATTACAGTTTTATTTAATTTGTTCCATAATTTAGCCGTTCACTGTATTTGTAGGTACTTGTAGAAGCGTGCACTTGCCGCTTCTTACTCTTTCCATTTTTATATGTCTCGTATCTCTGTCGAGTATCAGTTACTTATAGGGTCGGAAAGTCCCCATGGTTCATCGGCCGTTACGTGAGAGCGATAAAGAAAGTCATAGAAATCCGTGCGATAGAGAAAGATGGCTATAATGAAGGCGTCTAATAGTCACCGCCCATTTCGCCCTTCCACAAATAAGAAGTGGATCTTATTTCGTACGGATTTCTATGACTTTCTTTATCGCTCTCACGTAACGGCCGATGAACCATTGGGACTTTCCGACCCTGTATAATTAAATCCTAATATAAAAAACAAAGAAACAGAACTATTGGAGTAGATTGAACTCGTGTGATCGCATTTTTGTTTCAAATTCGTCTTCTCTTTTAAGTACAGACGCAGGTGAAGTACAAATTGCTTTTGTGTTTTATTTATTTATTAAATTAGTTTAAGGTGAGACACCTGTCAAAATGTACCAAAGATTTCCACATTTTTTTAAACGTTTAGGCATCAAATAAATTACAAGCGAAGTAGGTACAACTACTGTTCAACTTTGTTTTCTATCAAAGGGGTTCAACATTTAATTATTAAAAAAATGCACCATTTTGTCAATTACCTACCTATTATATTATAAGAATTGTTAATGTAATAATTTGTTAAGTCTGCCAACGGGTTAAAAAATTCAGTTATATTTTAATGGTGCATTATCCGTTTAAATTGAACTCTACTTACTGTCGATTAATGCTCTTGGTACACTCACACCGTGAACCAAATTTGGTTTTTCAAAGTTCAAGTAAGTATAACTAAAATATTGATTTTTTTCGTTTGAAACCCCACTTTCGAGGCCTATAACTTTTCAGGGGTGCAGCTTAGTATAAAGGTAAGATGCGTTAAATCACCAAATTTAGGGTTCCCCTATACATGCCCCTGGTCTGTGTGGATTCTTATGCGAAATACCTTAATACTATTTACCTTAATTTTTCTAAGCACTGATTTGGGTCACTTTTTTATACAATTGTTACCGTAAGCTCTATAAATTCGTCATACCTTTACGATAATAAGGAACTGCTATATATTTGCGGATAATAGTTTTGAATTAATGGAGGAATTATTAGGTATACATTACACATAACTAAAACGCTATCTTTTTCATATGCGACCGGAAATCTATTAAAAATGTTTATGACGTTAGAAGTTAATTCCGAACGATATTTTCTTCAAATAATTTGGATTCACTAATCTATTTTGAATCTTATATCCCAGTATCGATTTACACTGAAATGCTCTAATTATAGAGGTATTATGGTAAAATGTATATTCTTAATACATAGCATATAAAATTGAGTGCTAACAACATAATTAGGAACTAACCTGAAAAATAGCAACTGTTATAGTGACTGCAGTGGCAACTTCAATAGGACTGTACTTAATAATAGTAACTTCAGTAATTGAATCCACGGTAATATTGGAATTACTTTCAGTCTGGAAATAATATGGATCACTATATTCCAATACTGCCTTTCCCGTCATTAAACAGGCTACTGCAAATGTACCTAAAATATGTAAAATGACTCTTTTTTATTACCTATTTGATTTTACATATGTATATTGGCAAACATTCATAGTTTTACACGAATTACACAAGGTGTTTTGAAAAACGTACGAAAGATTAACACTGCTAATTACCGCCTGATAGGCTTGTTACCCAGATAATGAAATCAAGTTTTTATTTCATGAGAGCCTAGTTCCTCAGTAACATTGGCTTATCAAAGGCCGTTCGACATTAACCAACATGTTCCATTGTGTAAACGCCTAGACTAAAGTTATGAACAATAAGAACCCGATAGACATAATTTATATCTACTTTTCCAGAGCTTTTGATAAATTTCCACAACGTCGTATTTTACATAAACTTGAACACCTTGGTATTCGAGGTAATCTCATTCTCAATTTTTAATAGACAAGTCAAAATTAGCAGTGCTAATTTAGTACAGAATGTCACAACTGGAATACCACAGCGTTCTGTTCTGAGCCCACTATTATTTATTGCTGTGCTAGCGATCGATATTCAACACTATGTTTCGAGCCCAATATTATTTTACACCGTTGACTTATTAAATATTAACTGATATTGGTAGGTACGTAGATACGTCACTAATTGTAAATAATTTTTTGTAAATCAACTGTGTAATGGCGAAACTAATAATAATAACGAAAAATCATTTAGTGAAAACAATTTGCTTTTCTATGATGACATGTTATTTTGAAGTCACCATAGTTTAAAATTAAAAATTTTCACATGATTTATTAAGTATTATCCAATATTGGAATGCAGGTACGTTATTAATTGTAAATAAAACTAATTTATGTTCTGATTATCTATTATGAAATGATTTTTTAAAATAAAATATTTTCTTAAACAGTGTATGTATTTTATTTATGAATCTCAGTGTCAATGACCTCTGACAATGACCTAGTTTAGCTAAACTATACTACTGTCACTACATAAAGCAGCTAGAGATGCATATGCAAAGAAATACGGTATGTTTCTACTATTTTTTCTTACTCAGCCCCTTCAGCAGGCAATCGGTGCTAAACATATTAAATTAATCGAAAATGAATAAAATAACAAAATTAAATAGTGAACAGTTTAAATTTTAGCAGAACTCCATCATGTTCCGAACATTTAATTAAAACGTCATATCCGCCTTTGTAAAACGGCTACTGCCGATTGGCTTCACACCTGATATGATATAATGGGATAGTAAACGGGTTTAAAAACAAACTAATACGTTAATTCGGCAAAACCGGAATGTCCGAATACGTCATCACTGTTTCATTTTGTTATATTTTTATTTTAGTTTTCGACTTATCGGTTTACGAGAGGGTGTTGGTAAAGTGCCTGCGATTTGATTTTATAAAGTCATTTATTTTAGCTTTAGTGGCGATACAGTGTATTTTTGTTTTTTAATTTTGGATGATATTATGAAGAAGCATGTATATGAATCAAGAAAGAGTTAATATGATTAGAGCCTACTTTTCGATGGAGAAAACGATGCTGTTGCGAGAGATTATGGGATCTTCGCCAATACACTAACGTTGGACGGAAACAAACTCGGAGAATGAAAAATTTGGAACTATTTAAATTATGAGATTTGACAATAATGCATATCCCAGTTCTCAATAATTGTGTTTTCATGGCGCAATTTGAAGAAATAAACTATTTATAACTTTACACCCATGGCGGATCCAATATGGCGGCCTTTTTAACCCATTTTATAGCTATAGCATGATTTCAAAGAATTTCAAGAATTAGTATAGGGGTTTTTGAGAACTCTGATTTATTTTTATCCATTGCAATTCCAAAATTAATATGGTGGATTCAATATGATGAATACAAATCCCCTTCTAAATCAATTTATCTATGTATCTACATGGAGAACCATTAATTGGCTCACTAAATATTTACAAGATTTTTGTACCTGCAGGTATCGCTTTTCCTCATCTATTAAATTAAGAGATATCTATATTTCAAAACCTTAAAAAGGTCAGAATGTGTCCAACGTATTAAATCCGTCTATTTGACCTTTGGAACATTGATTTGAAAATTATGTTACGTGCTGAAAATTCCTGAATCGCAAATCGTGACCACTCGGCCCATACACAATATGCTTTGAAAACAATATTTGATTGATTGATAATTGACTTTATTTGACGAGAAGATCGAAAATGTTAGGGAAGCTGCAATGTAGTGAAGGGTTGGTAGTAAACCGGGTTCTCTTTTATGTAATTTTGTTTAAATAAAAATTGACACAACCGTTGCGTTCTTGTAATTGCACTCTTTATATTATATGAATATATACACAAGTATTTGCATAATAGTATGAAACAAAAAGGGGCAGTGTTTATTTTTCTAGACTAAACGTTTTACATGGAACTTACCATAAAATATATGGGTATAATACGTAATATTAATACCAGCAAAAGTTAACAAAATAATTATTTCCCTTACTCATAAGGAAAACGATTGTAGAAAATAATTAACAGTTGCCCTAAGTGTTCCGTGTTTAATCGTCTTTGGCGATCGGTAAATACCCATTTAAAAACGAAAATGATCGTTCAACATTTACCGAGGTCACAGGCGCATATCTAAAATTCGAAGTTTTTAATATATGCTATTTTTACTAATGGTGGCGAAGCATCAACTAGGTACTTCACATTTTAGTAATCCCACTGTCCGTGGCATTATACAATAACCAGGATTATATCCAACACAAAACTGTAATTTTATTAGAACATGTTTCCCCGTAATTGCGTTATATGTTTTTGTACGTCAGATACAATGTTCATTGCGTCAACAAAAACAACTTATGGTGGTTTGAAGTTACCTAAACTCTGCGTAAATTTCCACCATTCTGTATGCAGTAAGGCACTTTGAAATTTTGGATATTTCTTAATTCAAATATTAATCTGAACAGCCTATGCCTCAACGTTAAACGCGCAATGTATGCTACTATCTTTTTGATAAAAAAATCACTAGGTTTCTTCGTTATATCATATGCATATTTTCATATTTGTACATGCCTGCCTCTGATCTGAAGCTTCGCATCGATCCATTTATTCGATACGTATCTAGCGGCGCCTGGTGACAGGTATTCAAACTGGACAGTGCTGGCTAAGGAAACACCTTTACAATATGAAGTGTGAAACATCTCTTTGTAGGGGCTGTGAACAGGAAGACAAGATAGTATTACATGTACTATGTTAATGCACTGCCGTCTCGTCAACAAGAGAGTTCATGTTGGGAGAGCGCTGGCCTTCTATGGCCTATATTAGAGAGATCCCCCTGAGCAACGTCACCACCTTTTTCTCTGTAATAGGTTGGCTAACGGCTCAGGTGGATTGATCTCTTAATGGGAGAAGGGGCCCAATGGGGCCTAGGTGCTGTAGCTTTAAAAGCTACCCTCCCCATAGTTCCAGATTCCAGACGTATCTAGCGGCACCCTAATGCCTGCCCTGTCGGCTGAGGTTTTTTGCTAAGGGGCATTGGCCGTGCATTTCATTGTCGTTTGTGCGTGTGTGAGTGAATTTGAGGGGTTGCTTGGTCGAGGGTATGGCAGGTATTTTTTTGGCAGTCAGTTGCATTGTATATCGTGAGCATAGAGCTGCTTGACCATAGATTTAACCTGTTTCTGCTACTAAAACGTGTATTGCCATTGCCTCTTACTAGCATAGTATATATTACTACTGTTTATTTACTTAATTGTCGCCGTAAAGTTTCCCATGTCAACTGATAAGGTATTAAAAATACAAATTTAATTTAAGTAGTTAAAAGCTCTACTGACACAATTAACAGTTTCATTGATTCATCTTGTAGAATTTCGGAGCTAGATATAAACAAAAAAAGGAATTCAGAAGTATTTGTTCGTCTATGTTCATGTTCATGCTTATATTTAGTTGCAAGTTACTTAGGGGATACCCTATATAAATGGAGAATTAGTAAATCGCTCATCATTTTATTATCTGTTATCCTGATGAAGATATGTCATCAATTCGCTTACGTTCATTATTTGACTTGATAATACTTGTAAAAGCTACCTAATTAAAAATTTAAGTACGCACCCATTGAATTATGTCTTGATGTACCAAAGAACAAGTAAACTAAAACTGGGAAAAAAGCCATGTAAATCCCAACTACAGGCGGAACATTTCCTAAAAGAGCATATGCCATTCCTGAAAAATATTATATAATATAATGTATATTATAAGTATTGTTTATGTTTGTATTAAAATTTTATCTGACCTTGAGGAATATGCATTACTGCAACAGTAAATCCAGATATTACATCTGATAAAAAACTAGTTTTCCACCGATAATGAGGCATCCATTGCATAATTGGAATTGTGCGAAGTATTACATTTTTTATATTCAGTTCTTCTCTTTTGCATTGGTTTTTTAAAACTAAAAATATTAAAGGAATTAATAATACATACATAGTAATTGGGGATTTTGTATAATTTAAGTAGATATGGGCTACATATAATATATAGTAAATAATAACTTAAATAATAACATATGAAATTAATATAAATAATTGGCGTCATCTAGCAGCAATGGTGGAATTGATACCATTTTCGTATTACGATACCAAATTTCATAAAAATCCGTTGAACAGCTTTCAAGATATTTCAAAAAACAGTTGGAAAGAAAGTTAATGAAACACCCTGTAGAAGGAAAACGAGTAACATTTTGCCAATGCTTGTTGGACCTAAACCTATCAAATAAAAAACAGTTGTCATTATTGTCCGAAAGAGGAAAAAGTTATGAACGGATATCATCACACGTCAATTTTGTATGAGTTATGAGTTTTAAAAAACACTCTGTATGACATCAAAATTTGTAGACTGAAAACAAAAGTTCACACCCCAAAAATAATCAAAATCGATTAATACATATTCGAGCTATTTACAAAATTCAAAAAATTTTCATGAACTTTGAGGCCATCTAGCGGCCAAAAGAAGCGATTTCGGATATAGGTGAATTAGCCTAAATCTGCCTATTTTAAATCCACGAATCTGTGGTCTGCCGTGTTACAGCATATTCTAAGACACCCTGTATATACATACAGGGTGATTTCACTTTAAATGCACTGCAGGAATATATTAGTTGCCAGAAAATAAGTAGATATAAACTATAAACTTTTTTCCTGGGGGCGTGGTATTCGAGATACAGAGTGTTCAAGTTTAAATATATATATAATTCGGTTATATCTTCATTTACGCTGAACGATTTGAATGAAATTTATTACAGCGTATTCACATAATTAAACCTTTTATTGAATGTAATATTAACCTCGTGGCATTAACCAGTGGCGTGCTACTGAAGGTGCCGCTCAGTTTTCCCAAGAGAAAAATACGCCACTGGCAGTTTTTTGTAGAAATAATGTTAAATATGTTAGGTTAAATGAATGAAAAGTAATTCTTGGTATTTTTTAATAGTAGCAGCCGCATGGGAGATAATTTACTCATTTGGCGACCATAATGCGCAAATTTAGTCCACCTACTCATATTTGTTTTCACCAAAAATTGAATCTTGTGTCTACATTATCAGTTAGTAAGTTTTACGATGATCTCGTTTTAGTATTATAATTAGCTTTGTTTATTTATTTCTGAAGCTGTAGTCCTTGTTGGGCTTATGAACACGATACGAATTGTGGCAAAGAATAGAGGAAAATCATGTCATGAAAGTTCCTCTATAAATAAATAGATTAGACGATGTCTAAACTCTATCGATGCAGAAGGACTTCGTTTTGGACAATTGTTGTAGGACTTGTTATATAATTACTTTCTCGATCTATTTACCTACTAATGTTATTTTATTATTTAGTTTTAATATTTTTTCCAGAAATAAATTCATTTTTACAAAAAATCGACAGCGACCTATTCTATTCTTGGGAAAAGTTCACGGACGCTTTAGTAGCACGTCACTGGTTAAAACCAAGAGGTTTTCATCAAATAAACGAATTAATTTATAAGGAAAATTTAATAAAACTTAAAAACAAGCCCAAATATCTCCTAAACGGCTGATACTGTTAAAAAATACCAAGTAACATTTTTCATTCATTTAACGTAATAGTACCTGAATGTAACATTATTTCTATAAAAACGGCCAGTGGCGCATTTCTTTTCTTAGGAAAATGGGGCGGCACCTCCAGTAGAACACCACTGGTTAAAGACACAAGGTTAATATTACATTCAATAAAACATCTAATTAAGAGAATTTCATTCAATTCTGTTAGCGCATTATGAAGATATGGCAGAATATATTTTTATAAAGTTTAACACTGTATCTCGACTATCGAGTCCCGCGGGAAAAAAGTTTATAGATCAAACTCTACTTATTATTATTTTGTTAATGAATCTAGTCCTGCATCGATTTTAATTATTTTTGTGGTGTGGACTATTGCTTTCAATTTACAAATTTTGATGTTAGACAGTTAGCATTTTTTAAAAATTACAACTCCTACAATATTAATGTATGATGATAATATCCGTTCATAACTTTTTCTCTTTCGGGCAATAATAACAACTATTTTTTATTTGATAGTTACCTAATACCATTTGGAAGTTTTTGAGCCTCTTATAGAATTTTCAATAAATGATCGATTTGGGTACAAAAAATATTTTTTTAAATGTGTACATTATCTTGCCACCCATATTACAATACTTAAAATAAAGTGCTAGTAGTCACTGATTTTGTAGGATGCTTGTAATTTCAGTTTGATCTTTAAGTCATTGTACCTGCCAATTCTTAATGAGTATTTACTACGATAAAATAATATATCACATGTTACTTCATTTTTCGGATACACGCATACGACGAATTAGAGTTATTTAAAACGTGTCTAATTTTAATGAAATAATTCGTAAAACAGTCAGATACAATAAAAATTGCTGGAGATTAAATTAATAAAATTGAGGTTATTAAATTTAGTACAACTTATTATAAAAACTGTTCAAAATGACCACCGTTGTTTCTACAACAAAGGTTAATTCGGCGAAGAAAGTTAGAGGGCACGCTTTGCAGATCTTAAGGGCTATTTTCTAAAACATTTATGGCATTTTCGATATGCTCTTCTACAGTGTTAGATGTGGAAGTATGCACTGTTGTTTTCAGAGTGCCCCAAAGATAATAGTCGCAAGGTGTTAAGTCTGGTAAACGTACAGGTCAGTTAACAAAATTATCCCCTCTACCGATTCATCGACGAGAGAATCTTTCGTTCAGATACTGCCGGACATTTACAGTGAAATGTTTTTTTTTCCAATAACTTGGGTTTTGCAAAAATTCTAAATAAAATTCTCCATTCAGTCTATTGGGTAGAATAACAGGGCTAATAAAAATGCTATCAATGACTCAAATCCAAATATGGATGCTGATAATGTTTCACTTTGACAGCATGTGGATTTTCTTGAGCATACACATGTTCACTGTAAATATTTATTATTCCGCTTCTAGTAAAACAGAATTGGCAGGTAGGTACTTCAGTTGTAAAATCATAGAAATTTGATTTACGGGGTTCCATGGATATTAATATTATATTATATTAATTCAAAATATCTTGATACTTGTAGAATACTGAATGACAATATCAATATTTGCCTTTCAAGGCACATTTGATGATATTTTATTAACGTAATATTCTTGAGAATGTAAGTAAATTGCAAATATCTGAGAAAATTGAAACTGTAACCCCTACAATGCCTATATCGATGAAAAGAGCATTTGATTTTCTATAAAATGATGCAGAAAAATATAGGGTGTTCCATTTGAATTTAAAAAGTTGTGTCGGTTTAAAGTTTTCAAAATGTAACGTGAAAAATGGGACAGTTAGTATAATTTTCTTCATGTAATTTTGATAGCGGAAGGTAGTGTATCTTATGTTGTTTGTGTATTCCGAAAAGCAAGTAAAAGCTCCCAGAACGAAGAAAGATATAAGGAATTTTCGAAACGCTTGCATCAGTCAAAATTTTTATAAAATGTCGGATTATCTTGAAAACGGTTAGATTTAAGTATAGGGAAGTTTTAACATTTTTTATTTGTTTTTAATTTATCTTGTCGATAATGCAATAATATATAGGGTGTTCTATTTAAAATGGCATTACTTTCATTTCAAAGAACATATCTGATAACCCCTGTAAACAAATTATCAGAGTCATATTTTCTTTGGTTCCTCTGAACAGTTTAATAGACCACTTATCGTGAAGAACCCTTTATATAAAGGGTGTTCCACCTAAGAGAGATCCTTCTGTAACTCTGTAGCTGTAAAATTTATAAAAAAAATGGTTTTAATAAAAGTTGTCTGGAATCATGTGGGCCATGTAAAGAAAATATTTTTAGCTTTACAGGCCATTTCGCGTGGGCGCCACATAACTTTGTTGTTTTAAATGGAACACCCTGTATATTATTGCATTTTTGAATTTCTTGTTTAATATCAGGTAGAGTTCGCAAATTAGTGAGCACTTGACATCACGGACTTGAAAAGAGGTACTAGCATCTCCGTGGACCCTTACATATGTCAATTTTTTTCTTTAAAAATTAATATTTCAAAATCTATATGTCCTAGGTGTAGGGAATATTTAATAAAGTGACCCTCAAATTTCACGTAGAATACAAAAATTCAATAGTCTAAAGGGTGTCCCATTTAAAATAACGAAGTAGGTATCGATTTTCGATATAACCGGAAGTGCTAGAGAGTACTAAATATTTTTGTTGTGTTCGCCCCAGGGACATTGCCATGTTGCCAAATTTTCAAATTTTTCGACGCAGTATTTTTCTAGATATCGATCGACGCAGTTCCCGGTGGAACACCCTATTTAAACATAATCAATAAAATTAGGTAGGTACAGATTCCGCCTACTATTTACATATTTTTAATGTTCATTTATTTTTTTATTTTTATTAATTTGCTGTAATATGCAAAATGATGCAAAATAATTTCAATACCTAGTTAATAAATATGTATGTTCCTTTTGCGAAATATATCTTTTTCGTAAGAATTGGATCAGGATCTCACTTTACCTACTACTTTAATAAAAAATAATTGTAAGCATTAGTTACGAAATAAAGACCTGTATTTAAATAACAAATAGTACCAAAAAGTGATGCAAATGCTTTTAGTTATATCAACAATGTACTTACATGACTTTTTAGGTTTCTCGTAATAAAAATCTTGCCTTAGTTGATCATGTTCATACAGAGGACGTTCTATGCGAATTTGTGAAGTTAATTCTTCTTCCATTGTTAAACCCAACGGTAATTACCAATCATTCAAATTCAACTGATATAGGTACCTTCAATAAACGGCTATTAAATGTTTATGTTTGTCGATGTAATTATGTATTAACTAGTTAAGAACGTAGCCAGAAGCAATTTCCGATTTTTATTTAATTTCAGAATAATACACGTACTGTTTTTACAGCCTTCACCTCATTCCCATTTGAACCTGTAGCAAAATTTCTCAACCAATTCTGTCTCCTTTGTAGTAATAATTAGTATAAAAATACATTAAATATATTTACATATTTTAAATGCCTGTCAAGATAAAGGATAAAGTTATATGGTCTGGGTTTAAGTATATTTAATTTTGATTTAAATTTTGCGATATAAAATAAGTTTGTTTTAATTTTAATATAATAATTGTATTTATTTTCTCATTACAATATTTGCACTTATCCATATACCCTCTGTTTATTACTTGACTATCACAAAATATTTTTATACTACATAGTTTAATCTTTGGAAAACATTTAATATATAAATCGCCTAAGGTAACATTTTCCCAACACATGTGATCGTGGAACTATAAATTAAATTTAAATCTTCCTTAGCTTACAAGTCAAATACCATACCATACCACTATGTTCACATTTATTTCTTGAGCAAATTTCTTCCCAAAGATGCGTATCATATTTCTAATACATCAATCAATTTTCCTTAAGGCTGGTGTTTTATAGACAATAAATCACACTTTTAGTTAGACAATGATGGAACAAGTAGATGCATCCAGGAAGTGGCGAAGTGTAACACTAAGTTAGAGCAACTTCCTTTAAAAAATTTATTATTATTTGAAAAAGATTATGTCTTGAAGAATTATATAATTAAAAAATCATCAAATTGGTAGATCAGTATAGAAACCGAACTATCAAATGTTTTATGAACCCTCATCACAAGTGGTTTCGTTTTAGAATCAAAAGTCAAGGGTCTAAAACTACTGGTTGTTTCAATATGATCAGCTTATTAGGTACCTACCTATAAGGATGAAAAATTAATAGTGTAATATTTGTGTACAAAATCTTAAATAATGTAATAAAATGTGAGCACCTGGTAGAAATGATAAATTTTCATATTCATCGATTGAACATACGGCACCAACATCTCCAAACAAAAAATTATATACTGTTCATCTATAACTCAGATAGTTTATATAATGTTTGTAGATTTGTCCTTGTTTTATTTTATTTATATGACTTTATTATATGTATCAACAATGTTTGTAATTTACAGCCATTTCTCCTGTCATATATTTGTGTGTTTTTGTGGTTTTTAGCTGGATTTTGTTTTCTCTTTTTATTGTTATAGTTAGCTATCCTTATCCTATAATTAGGCACTTGCCTGTTGGATATAGTAAATAAATAAATATAAATACAATAAATAAATAAAATGTTGAAAAAATTAACTTTAATGCGAGCGTTAATATGCGTAATTTTTTGTCCCGCATTTTAGAAAATCTAAGCAAGTTAGAAACAATGCAAGGTGTTAATGAACTTATGTTAAATATTTTTGCCACATGTCCATTATGTCGAAATGAGGTAAATACACGGATTTGTATTGAGTAAAATGTAATTTTAAAATCTGACTTACCTCAACATTGCAAGGAACCACCTTTTGAGAACTGCTGAAATGTTCGGTGTATCCACCATTTGCTTACACACAATCCTATTCGCTCGCACGCGTTCAGGGTATCTTGCACGGCACACTTGACAAGCCCCGTGGACATTTTCGTTTGCTTCGCCACAAATTATGAGCATATCATAATATTCGCGATTGGTAAATAAATGCGCCATTTTCAAAAGAAAACTTAGAAATACGGCTATTACATGTACATTCAAAAAACAGCACAGCAATCACTACAACAATGTATTACAAACTCACTTTCGAATACAGTCCGGCTTCATAAGAAACCTACAAACTCGTAAAAAGTGTTACAGGTTTTTTTTGTAAGTACTCGCCGCGATAAAATACATGTATTTCAGCAGTTCCAAAACAGTTTTAAACACATTTTTAATTAGCTTTTTTCTCTATGACCTTAAACTTCCAATACAAGTTTGTGACATCAAATAACTCAGTTTTTGCTCCTTTTCACCCCTTTAAATTTTTAACATAAGTTCATTAACACCCTTTATATATACACTGTATCAGTTACATAAGCTTTCAGGACCGTTTACAACTAGACAGCACATTCAGAATACGAAAAAAAGCATATTTTTATTCTGATTGGCCAAATTTAATCCAAACACCATATGCGTTGCCACAACCTGAAAAGTAAATGTGGCTGATGGTAACAAAGGCTGGATAAGCTTTAAAAGGAAGAGGCTATCGCTACTACTGTGGGGATAATAGAGAGTTCCAAGCGAGCAGACGAACTGTGCGGACGTAGTTTGTGCAGTGCAGCAGTGACTAGTGAATGTCAGTGCGAGAAACTGTGAAGTGGAAGCCCCACAAAACCTGTCTTTTACAAGACAAGTAATATTCTGTCTTTATTAAGGCAATATATAGAAAGAATTCGGCAATTTTATATTACAAAATTTCTACTAAAGCCGAGAGGAGACCGCCTGTCATCCTTCGCAAGAAGGAGCAGTGGACGGAGGTCAGCAGGAGACTGACAAACAGAAAAATAAATTACACCAGGGCCAGGTTAACGGGTGAAGACAAACGCCTGATGATTATCGACGTCTCACGCGTGTCCTCGCTGACGAGGGGGAATTCCACACCTTCTCTCTCCCAAGCGAGCGGCTGCTGAGGGCCGTGATCAGAGGGCTACCAGACGGAATTTCCAATGAGGAAATTCGGTCAGACCTCGAAGTACAGGGCTTTAAAATAACATCTATTTTGAGAATGAGGAGCCGGAGGAACAAGGCATCCATGCCTCTAGTACTTGTACAAGTCCCCCAGGAGCAGGAGGACCTGCTCAAGGTGACAAGATGCTGCCACCTCGTCGTCAGAGTGGAACTGCAGAGGGCGAGGACCGAGCCGACGCAGTGCCATCGCTGCCAGCGCTTCGGTCACGCGCAGAGCCGTTGCACCGCAGCTGTCAAGTGTGTGAAGTGCGGCAAGGGCCACCACTCAGCAGACTGCACTAAGAAGCGCGAGACCCCGGCAAAGTGCGCCAACTGCGGCTGGGAACATCCCGCCAGCTACCGCAGATGACCTAGCTTCCCTAAAAAGACGACAGGGAGCAGAAAGCAACAGCGCAAAGATGACCCCCAAGCCGACAAACAACAGGCTAAGTTGGCACACCCCCCGAAGGTGAAGGCGGCGAAAAGCTTCGCTGACGCCGCCACGCCGAAGCAAAAACCGACAAGAGCACGGAACCCGCAAATGTGACCAGTATGCTGGCACAAATGCGGGAGATGTACTCCGCGATGTTGGCTTTTTTCAGTAAAATGCCATCTCTGTTACAGGAGTAAATGGACCCTCCGACTTGTGTGAAGTCCCTCAGAATTGCCTCCTGGAATGTCGACGGATTCCAGGGGCGAAAAATCGAACTCAAGGAGCTCTTACCCCATCTAGACGTGGACGTGATGGCGATACAAGAGACCAAAGTAGAGGACGCACACACTGTTAGGATTCCTGGCTACCTAGTGTATCGCAGGGACCGAAACAGACACGGAGGAGGCGTGGCCCTGCTCGTAAAAAGAGGTATAGATCACCATATGTTGCAGGTTCCTCAGCTAGAAAACATGGAAGCCGCCGCCGTATCGATCCGTACTCGCAGGTACGGAGACATCGCCGTGGTGACCTGTTATCAGCCCCCTCATCTCCCGCTCACCGATCACGATTTACGCGCGGTCCTGGAGACGTGGCCCCAAACCGTAGCCATCGGGGACTTTAACGCGAAATCGCCCGAATGGCACAGCACGACCACCACCACGCGTGGCAGGGTGCTTCTGCAATTCTTGCAGAACCACGAGGACGTTGCAGCGTATGGACCCGATGGACCGACGTACTACGGTGCAGTTGGAAGACCAGACGTGTTGGATATCGCTTTGCTCAGGGCAATACCGATGGACGCCGATCTGACGACGCACTACGAGGGGGCGACGAACCATGCCCCCATTCTCCTAACCTTAGGAGACGAGCGTCGCGGCGAGGACACCGTTGCCAAGCGGCGGACCGACTGGGGCCTATTCCGCGCAGAAATGCAACGAATATGCGCACCCATTCCGGTCATCCGCGACGCGGCGGACCTCGAGGCTGCCATCGCGAGCCTTGAGACGGATATCCACACCGCCTTGGAAGCCAGCACCACGGAGACGACGGAGAGAAGGATAGCGAACTATGCAGGTGAGTTACCTCTTATGTTGCAGGACCTAATCAGGGAAAGACGTGCGGCGAAAAGAAGAGCCACGAGGACAGCACACCCCCGGGATAAGCAGACGTTAAACCAGCTGAACCGGAGGGTAAAAGCGGCCCTAGAGGAGCACTACCAGGACTCGTGGCAACGACATCTGGAGTCACTAAACCCCGAAGACCGCAGCCTGTGGACGATGCAACGGGCGCTGAGGACCACCCGGAAGCCTATGCCTCCCATTCACGGAGAGAACGGGATCGTCTACACCAGGTATGAAAAGGCCGAGGCATTCGCCGACAGCCTTGAATTACAGTGTAGGGAAAACCTTCTCGACGACGAAGACGAGGACCACGCCGACGAGGTGGAACGACGCGTACGGCGCTACAGACGCCAACCCGACAGGGACGACATTAGGCCGGCGACACCCGAGGAGGTGAGGGACATCCTGCGGCGCCTCAACCCCCGCAAGGCACCCGGATGCGACCAGATCGGAAATCGAATACTCAGAAAGCTCCCCCACAAGGGAGTGATGGCGCTGCTCAACATCGTCAACGCCATCCTGAGACTGCGAAGATTCCCCGCTAGGTGGAAGAAAGCCGACGTCATCTTCTTCCCGAAACCAGGTAAGAATCTAACCTTTGCTGCCAGTTACAGGCCCATCAGTCTCCTGCCGATGATGAGTAAGGTAGCGGAGAGGATCATCCTGATCAGACTGCGTGAGAGCTCGGAATAATTGCGAGTCATCCCCGACGAACAATTCGCCTACCGCAGTGGACTCAATGGAGCAGCAGATTCTCAAGTTAGTAGAACATCTGTCCGCAGGTTTCAACAACCGAGAATCCACCGTGACAGTCTT